CGTCTCTACAGCGTCTGGTATCCTGGTGTGGGAGTTGTACCAGGTGATGGTGGGCGGTGGGCGTGATCCACGGACTTCACACACAATCTGGTACTCTTTGCCGGCCTTCAGAGGGGGTTCAGGAGCTCGGATCACCACTGAGAGTGCTGGAACTGTGGGGTAGAGAGTGGGGGTGGGTCCTAGGTTGTAGTCTGGTAGTCATGGTGGGTGGTTATTCATGGTGGTAGACTATTAGTGATTAGTGGTGGCTGATGTTGGTAACGAAGGAGGTAGTGTTAGTGTGTGTGTGTTAGTGTGTGTGTGTGTGTGTGTGTATGTGTGTGTGTACATGCGTGCGCGCGCGCTTATGTACATGTTGTGAATGTGTTTTGCTGTACAGTTTCTTAGAACATTCGGATACAAACAAAACACAGCTCTCCCCTACACACAAAGCTTAAGGGGAAAGAGTCATTCCCTCTCTTCACAACATCCCCTTAGCCAAGGGGTGAAACTAAGTGACCGTACATCCCTTTACCAATCAGACGCAACAGTGCTTAGCCTGATAGGCAGTTTAACCTGATGGGCTTTAAATAGCACACAGCACACACAGCCTATTCCTTCAGTAGGCCTATGAATGTCTAGTGTCTTAATGTAATTTTAAATTGACTTTTGTTCATCACTCCAGCACGGTCTGTCCTTTACCAGGGTAAAGCAGGAATTTCCTTTTGCTCCAGCCATGGTCCAGTCATGGTCCAACCATGGTCCAGCCATGGTCCAGTCATGGTCCAACCATGGTCCAGCCATGGTCCAGCTATGGTCCAGCTATGGTATAATGTCTTTATTTTTGGTAATTAATTAATTTCAAATAGGTAACCTAAGATAAAAATCAATATTGTGACTGGAATAATTCACAACCCACAATTCTGTAGCTGCAACAGTTCACATCAAACCCACAATACTGTGGCTGCAACAATTTACTACTAGCTCACAATACCACTGCAAGAATCCAAAATTAGCCAGCAAATTTAAAAAGAAGCTAAACGACGTTTCAGTCCTTCATGGGCCTAATAATGGTCCTGAATGAACCGAAATGTCGTGTAGGTTACACCCAATTTGCCGGGTAGTTTAAGATCAACTCCCATCTACGTGGTCACCTTGATGCTGTAAAAATCTTGGTAGAATTCCCTACAATATGTCAGGTACAAGGGCTTGACAAAGCTCCTGGAGAGAGAAACGTTGCAGCAACAAAATGTCACATTTAGTGCCTTGATGCTGGTGAATGTCTCTTGATCCCAGGAAATTGGAGTTATACTCCTCTTTCCTCATTTCAAACCTGTTTTGTCTCCCGTTCTCCCCACGTGAAGGGCAGTAAGCAGTTCATGCTGCTACTTACGATTCATGTCGACCATTACTACGAGAGACGTAGGCAACGTCAGGTTGTTGTTCGAGGCCTCACAGGTGAGCAAGAGCTTCAGGTCGTTGCGAGTGAGTGGTCCTAGCGTTAGCGTATTGTATGGGACTATGGCAGCTGGTGGCGCCGACGGCTGGCCTGCTCCGGCGCGGGTCGGCGATGTCTGGTTGGCTAAAGATTGCTGGGTCGTCCCTGAGAGGACTCCCGAAGTGGGGCTGGTGGAGTTCGAAGTCGCTCCTGCTGATGCTATTGGGGGTGATGCCGTGGTGCTGCGTCCCTCCTGCGATTCCATATGGCTATCCAGGAGGTGCGTATCCTCAAACCATACCACTGATGGCGGAGGCACACCTGGAAGGATTAAAAGAGGAAACAACTGTCAATTTGCAGACTAAGACATGAAATGGAGAGGGAATTCTAAGAGGTTTATCACTTTCTCTCTTTCTCTCCAGAAACCTTCGTGAAACCTGGTTCTAGAACGACTGAAAACCACTAGCTTAATCTCCCAGTTGAAAATTGCTGCAGCCATGGTGTTTAGCTTTACCGGCTTCACTAACCCCCCCCCCCCCACACACACCCTATACCCATGGTGCAGACGGCAGTCAAAAGATCACAGAGGCACATAATAGATCCACAAACTGGACCACAAAGTTTTGATGGCTAAACAAATTACAGCGGCAATGAAGTATTCACCCATTTATATCTGGTTACAGTCCTAATGAGCTATTCATACAGCCATGAATTGTCATAAAAATATTACGGTGTCGCTAATATTTACGCCACCTTGTATTTAAGCAAGATGTAGTTGAATTTAAACATGTTTAAGTAGCCGAGTTATTTATAACAGGTAAAGTCAGGGTATTTGTCCAGAATGGCTGGTAATATGCTACTTTTTATTGTTGCTTTAAATCATCGACAAAGCAGCATTACTTCTCACTAAGGATTACAAAAATATGATCTAGACGATGTTTCGGTCCTCGATATCAAGTTACAAGGCTGTGTAGCGGTCCGTGAGGGACCCAGACGTTCAGTTCTCATTCCTGATGTTTCGGTCCTTCCTGAACTATTCCCGATTTGTGGCTGACTGGTCAATTATTTGAACTTTGAAGACCTACACTAATCTTTGTCCTAGAGTTCAAAGCTGAGATAATATTGATCAACTGCACAGTGTCTTCATTCCAGTCACAATATTCAACCTAACCTAACCTATCCTAACTTAGTCTAACCTAACCTATCCTAGCCTAGTCTAACCTAACCTATCCTAGCCTAGTCTAACCTAACCTATCTTAGCCTAGTCTAACCTAACCTAACCTACCCTAGCCTAGTCTAACCTAACCTACCATAGCCTAGTCTAACCTAACCTATCCTAACTTAGTCTAACCTAACCTATCCTAGCCTAGTCTAACCTAACCTATCCTAGCCTAGTCTAACCTAACCTATCTTAGCCTAGTCTAACCTAACCTAACCTACCCTAGCCTAGTCTAACCTAACCTACCATAGCCTAGTCTAACCTAACCTATCCTAGCCTAGTCTAACCTAACCTACCCTAGCCTAGTCTAACCTAACCTTGCCTAACCTATCCTAGCCTAGTCTAACCTAACCTATCCTAGCCTAGTCTAACCTAACCTATCCTAGCCTAGTCTAACCTAACCTACCCTAGCCTAATCTAACTTAACCTATCCTAGCTTAGTCTAACTTAACCTACCCTAGCCTAGTCTAACCTAACCTATCCTAGCCTAATCTAATTATCCTATCCTAGCCTAGTCTAACCTAACCTACCCTAGCCTAGTCTAACCTAACCTACCCTAGCCTAGTTTAACCTAACCTATCCTAGCCTAGTCTAACCTAACCTATCCTAGCCTAGTCTAACCTAACCTATCCTGGCCTAGTCTAACCTAGCCTATTTTAGCCTAGTCTAATCTAACCAAGTCAAATATACCCTAGCCTAGTCTAATCTAACCTAGCCCAGCCTACCCTAGCCTTGTCTAACCTAACCAATCCTAGCCAAACCTAACCTATTCTCGTACAACCAAACTTAACCTAACCTAACCTAACGTAGCTTAGCCTAGTCAAACCTAACCTATCCTAGCCTTGTTTAACTTAACGGAAACTAACATAACCTAATACAGCTAAGCCTAACCTAGGCTAGCCCTAGCCCAATCTAACCTAACCAACTTTATTTATCCTAACCTAAAGCAAACAGACAATTTATTTTTTTGTTAATTGCAAGGAACGTTAAGAACCTGACGCTGGGAATCGTGACTGGATAAACCCAACGGTGTGAAATGAGGCACAGTCACCACTAAGGATCTTTCTCTCCCTCTCAGTCGCAGTAATCCAGCCGGAAAGCTGAAGCACAGCTCTTAAATAGCTTTCAAGACGCAGCCGGGCGCATTCAGGCCACTGAACTCTCAGATAACTCAGCCGGAAAGCTGAAGCACAGCTCTTGAGAGAGCCTCCAGCAAGAGTTTTGCCTCGAGTAATGACCCCGATCTTTCCACCTCTTCCTCCTGCACGATATGCATTTAACATGGGTGAATTAAGGGTCGCTTAAACTTCTCTCTTCCTCTCTCAGGGAGGAAATCTATAAACTTCTATATCTCAGGTACTTTCAGGGACTCTTAGTGTAAACTACAAACTTGCTAATCCCAGGGACCTTTTTGTTCCTACACTGTCTCTCTAAAAGGCCGCCACTTCCATTTACCGTAATGCAGTTCATTAATGCTTAACGAGAAGCAGTAAATAATAAATAAAACCTAATTGCCCATCACGAATTACTTCCCCCCCCCCCCTCAAAAATCTTCCTCCTCAAACTTGTCGATTAAGTTAGCCTCTCATTACTTAATTAACCAAAAAAATTAACATTAACCAAGAATCGTTTAGCTTTGGTAATTACGAAGGGACGTCAATTTTTTACCCAGCCTAAAAAAAATACATTAGTTTACGTAGACTGAGACTACGGCTATTTTCAGTTAGTTATTATTCGTCAGGACAGTCCAGTTACGGGAGTAAATATTTCTAGGACTCTTAATTATCATAGCAAGAGTAAGTTCTCTCTCCTCTTAGATAAGAACACCTACTATATACCTACCGCACAGTTTATCTATGTTGAGTTGGGTAAAATTCGTTGGGAGACACAGCTGGAACTTTTGGTCATCTGACCGATGCCTTCCACTGGCTTACCCTCCATCCCTCTTAACAATTATTTCTCTATAGATCCTCACATTTAATGTTTATAGGAATATTTAAAGGCTAATATTTAACCTTAAGGCCCCTGAGGCTACATAGCCTAATATTTAAACATTATTAATATAATATTTTTGCCTGGAAAAATCGATTATCGTAAAAAAAATCTTTAAGGATCTATCAATATCCTAAAAAAAATTCTTTAAGGATCTGTCAATATCCTATAAAAAATCTTTAAGGATCTATCAAATATCCTTAAAAAAAATCTTTAAGGATCTATCAAATATCCTAAAAAAAATCTTTAAAGATCTATCAATATACTAAAAAAAATTCTTTAAGGATCTATCAATATCCTAAAAAAATCTTTAAGGATCTATTGATATCCTATAAAAAATCTTTAAGGATCTATCAATATCCTAAAAAAATCTTTAAGGATCTATCAAATATCCTTAAGAAAATCTTTAAGGATCTATCAATATCCTATAAAAATCTTTAAGGATCTATCAATATCCTAAAAAAATCTTTAAGGATCTATCAATATCCTAAAAAAATCTTTAAGGATCTATCAAATATCCTTAAGAAAATCTTTAAGGATCTATCAATATCCTATAAAATCTTTAAGGATCTATCAATATCCTAAAAAAAATCTTTAAGGATCTATCAATATCCTAAAAAAATCTTTAAGGATCTATCAAATATCCTTAAGAAAATCTTTAAGGATCTATCAATATCCTATAAAAATCTTTAAGATCTATCATATCCTAAAAAAATTCTTTAAGGATCTATCATATCATAAAATTAAGGATCTATCAATATCCTAAAAAAAATTCTTTAAGGATCTATCAATATCCTAAAAAAAATATTTAAGGATCTTTCAATATCCTAATATTTCCTCCTTTATAATCCTATCTACGTAACCTAAAAGGACTAAATCCATAAGGGTCGCAGGATGGAGACTCCGGCAGCTGATACTTGATAACTGTAACACTGAACCACAATTACCTTCGTGGGTGGAAAAAGTGGCAGCTCATTTGCATACCGTAAGGGGAATTATTATTATAATCATAACTAAACGCTAAACCCGTATGGGCCGTAGGGAGAAACGGGTTGGCTTACCTCCGTGAGCAATACAAGAGAGGACTAGCATGTCGCCTTCCTGGTAAGGTCCAGCCACGCTAGTTACTGCCAGCTGTGGGCCGCCCACACCGCCCACCACCACACCTACACTCTCCGGTGGCACTGTGGGGGGAGGGAAGGTGAAGCAAGTTATTGAGTGCCGTGGAGGAGAGTGATGGTACTGTGTGGAAGACAGCCATCATTAATGGTAGTAATTAAGTTCTAACCATATTAATTGCGTGAGGGTCATTAAGGTGCAATATCACCTGTACACTCAAGAATTTAAGAGGAAATTCTCGTTGTGTGTGCGTGTATGTGTGTGTGTGTGTGTGTGTGTATGTGTGTGTGTGTGTACTCACCTAGTTGTACTCACCTAGTTGAGGTTACGAGGGTCGAGTCCGAGCTCCTGGCCCCCGCCTCTTCACTGATCGCTACTAGGTCACTCTCCCTGAACCGTGAGCTTTATCATACCTCTGCTTAAAGCTATGTATGGATCCTGCCTCCACTACATCGCTTCCCAAACTATTCCACTTACTGACTACTCTGTGGCTGAAGAAATACTTCCTAACATCCCTGTGATTCATCTGTGTCTTCAACTTCCAACTGTGTTCCCTTGTTACTGTGTGTGTGTGTGTGTGTGTGTGTGTGTGTGTGTGTGTGTGTGTGTGTGTGTGTGTGTGTGTGTGTGTGTGTGTGTGTGTGTGTGTGTGTATGTGTCTGTGTGTGTGTATGCACATAATTACTTATTGCAGTTGCCTCACTGAGTTTGCTGGGGGTTGAATCATTGCTCCAGGCCACTTTGTCTATTCAGTGGTATGATGGGAATTAGTCTTGTATGAATTTACAAGCAGTTGCAAGTATTTACAGGCAATTACAAGTGACTAAAAATTACATTATTATGCTAACCCAAAAACAGAGAGGTTCCCCGTGTGTCTAGCTTGATATATATGACGTTTTACAGAGTTAGAATAAAAATTAACTGTTTACCTAACACTTCCATCACACAGGATGGGTGTCCTGTCACCCCCCATCTCACAGGATTGGTGTACTCTCACATCCCATCACACAGGATGGTTATCCTGACGCACCCCATCACACGGGATGGGTGTCCTGTCGCACCCCATCACACGGGATGGGTGTCCTGTCGCACCCCATCACACGGGATGGGTGTCCTGTCGCACCCCATCACACGGGATGGGTTTCACACATATAATAATGAAATCTGTCAGTGTGAACTGTGAGACTTCAGTAGAAGGATGATGATATCGCCAAGGACTCCACCCTCGATTTAACACACTGAGAGGTGTATATTTCTCAGTGTTTATACACTGAGAGGTGTATGTTTCTCAGTGTATATACACTGAGAGGTATATGTTTCTCAGTGTATATACACTGAGAGGTGTATATTTCTCAGTGTATATACACTGAGAGGTGTGTGTCTCTCAGTGTATATACACTGAGAGGTGTATGTTTCTCAGTGTATATACACTGACAGGTGTATGTTTCTCAGTGTATATACACTGACAGGTGTATGTTTCTCAGTGTATATACACTGAGAGGTGTATGTTTCTCAGTGTATATACACTGAGAGGTGTATGTTTCTCAGTGTATATACACTGAGAGGTGTATGTTTCTCAGTGTATATACACTGAGAAGTGTGTGTCTCTCAGTGTATATACACTGAGAGTTTACTTAAATCAGCCTATTTTAGGGATTAAATAATTGTTGACTGGTGGTGAACTGATGGCATGCAGCCTTAATCACCCCTCGCCTAGTTGATAGGCCTAAAATTCGATAATCCCACTTTGGGTTCAGCTATGGCAGCTCTGAATGCTGCCTTCCAACAGAACTGGAGTTACTATGACACACACAGTCCGTCCTCTCAAGTTTATCTGTATCCTGGAATACTTTCTATATCGTGAACATGGTTCCTCTCGGTGCAGCTTCTGCATGTCTCTCCTTCCTTTATCTTTATATCAACTCAGGATGGCCCGGTTGAGCTATGGTTCCTGGGCCTCCTCCATTCCTCCCGCCTCTCAATCTTAAGTCAGCTTGCATGATGGGTGATTAACCTGAGGGGTTTTAGTGCTCAGTGCTAAACCCGTGAGGGTGAAGGTTCGATCCTGCGTTCTCTGTTCGAGAGAGGGAAACTAGTACTCTATCAGACAGGCTTCTCTACGTGTCTTCATTCCAGTGTCTCAGACATAAACAAAGGAGGAACGATCCTCCAGTCAGGCTACAGGTGATATTTGTAGTTTCTAACACATTTCACCTGTGTGTGGGACAAGCCATCTTGAGAGATGGTGACTCCCAGGTGATAGTTACTCCAGCTCTGCTGGTTTCCTTCATTGATGCTGTTGTAGCTGATTAACCTTTAATGCAATACTTGACTACGTCCTCGGGGTTCTACTGAAGTCTCCTATTTCAGGATGGAATAAGACAGGGGAACCCATCCTGTGTCACTGAGTTTGACAGGAAAACCTATCCTGTGTGATGGAATATGACAAAGGTAACTCATTCATCCTGTGTGATAGAATATGACAAAGGTAACTCATACTGTGTGACGGAATATGACAAGGGTAATACATCAATACATCCTCTGTGATGGAATATGACAAGGGTAACACATCCTGTGTGATGGAGTATGACAGTGGAATGCACTTTCAAATCCACAGAATCGTTCACACACCCGCACTCCGCGGCCACAACACCGCCCACACACCCACAACACCGCCCACACACCCACAACACCGCCCACACACCAATAAGGCCTCCCACACACCCACAACGCCTCTCACACACCCACAACACCACCCGCACACCCACAACACCACCCACACACCCACAACGCCTCTCACACACCCACTACACCACCCACACACCCACAACGCCTCTCACACACCCACAACGCCTCCCACACACCCACAACGCCTCCCACACACGCACAGTAACTCCCTACTCCAACCTTTCCTTCACAAACCTCAAAGAGAAAGCATCTCAAGTCGAAACACCGAGAGCTTTCAGCTGCTTGCAGACCAGAATTGCAATTACCTTCCTCATTTATTTGCTTGAAGACAATTATTTGTATAATTTCATCATAACCTGTACAGTATTATATCTATAATAATAATAATAATAATAATAATAATAATAATAATAATAATAATAATAATTATTATTATTATTATTATTATTATTATTATTATTATTATTATTATTATCTCTGCTGGTAGTAACAATATCTGGTCATTACCGTCAACGTTAAGATCAATCACAATGTTAACAAGTTAACTGACTACGTTAATTTCAAATCAACATTTAATCGTATTAACGACGACTAACGAGACAACATTTTAAGTGCCGCTTGACACTGCAAAAATAAAACTATGTAACATTATTAATAATATCTATATTGCGTGCAACAAGTGCTGACAGAAGAATGTTGCGTGCAACAAGTGCTGACAGAAGAATGTTGCGTGCAACAAGTGCTGACAGAAGAATGTTGCGTGCAACAAGTGCTGACAGAAGAGTGTTGCGTGCAACAAGTGCTGACAGAAGAATGTTGCGTGCAACAAGTGCTGACAGAAGAATGTTGCGTGCAACAAGTGCTGACAGAAGAATGTTGCGTGCAACAAGTGCTGACAGAAGAATGTTGCGTGCAACAAGTGCTGACAGAAGAATGTTGCGTGCAACAAGTGCTGACAGAAGAATGTTGCGTGCAACAAGTGCTGACAGATGAATGTTGCGTGCAACAAGTGCTGACAGAAGAATGTTGCGTGCAACAAGTGCTGACAGAAGAATGTTGGTTGCAACAAGTGCTGGCAGAAGAATCTTGCATGCAACAAGTGCTGACAGAAGAATGTTGCGTGCAACAAGTGATGACAGAAGAATGTTGCGTGCAACAAGTGCTGACAGAAGAATCTTGCATGTAACAAATGCTGACAAAAGAATCTTGCATGCAACAAGTGCTGACAGAAGAATCTTGCATGCAACATGTGCTGACAGAAGAATCTTGCATGCAACAAGTGCTGACAGAGGAATCTTGGATGCAACAAATGCTGACAGAAGAATCTTGCATGCAACAAGTGATGACAGAAGAATCTTGCATGCAACAAATGCTGACAGAAGAATGTTGCATGCAACAAGTGCTGACAGAGGAATCTTGCATGCAACAAGTGCTAACAGACGAATTTTGCATGCAACAAGTGCTGACAGAAGAATCTTGCATGCAACAAGTGCTGACAGAGGAATCTTGCATGCAACAAGTGCTAACAGACGAATTTTGCATGCAACAAGTGCTAACAGAAGAATCTTGCATTCACCAAGTGCTAACAGAAGAATCTTGCATGCAACAAGTGCTAACAGAAGAATCTTGCATGCAACAAGTGCTAACAGAAGAATCTTGCACGCAACAAGTGCTGACAGAAGAATCTTGCATGCAACTACTGCTGACAGAAAAATCTTGCATGCAACAAGCGCTGACAGAAGATTCTTGTATGTAACAAGTGCTGACAGAAGAATCTTGCATGCAACAAGAGCTGACAGAAGAATCTTGCATGCAACAAGAGCTGACAGAAGAATCTTGTATGCAACAAGTGCTAAAAGAAGAATCTTGCATGCAACAAGTGCTAAAAGAAGACTCTTGCATGCAACAAGTGCTAACAGAAGAATCTTGCGTGCAACAAGTGCTAAAAGAAGAATCTTGCATGCAACAAGTGCTGACAGAAGAATCTTGCATGCAACTACTGCTGACAGAAAAATCTTGCATGCAACAAGTGCTAACAGAAGAATCTTGCATGCAACAAGTGCTGACAGAAGAATCTTGCATGCAACAAGTGCTGACAGAAGAATCTTGCATGCAACTACTGCTGACAGAAAAATCTTGCATGCAACAAGTGCTGACAGAAGAATCTTGCATGTAACAAGCGCTGACAGAAGATTCTTGTAACAAGTGCTGACAGAAGAATCTTGCATGCAACAAGAGCTGACAGAAGACTCTTGCATGCAACAAGAGCTGACAGAAGAATCTTGCATGCAACAAGTGCTTACAGAAGAATCTTGCATGAAACAAGAGCTGACAGAAGAATCTTGCATGCAAAAAGTGCTAACAGAAGAATCTTGCATGCAACAAGTGATAACAGAAGAATATTGCATGCAACAAGTGCTAACAGAAGAATCTTGCATTCACCAAGTGCTAACAGAAGAATCTTGCATGCAACAAGTGATAACAGAAGAATCTTGCATGCAACAAGTGCTAACAGAAGAATCTTGTATGCAACAAGTGATAACAGAAGAATCTTGCATGCAACAAGTGATAACAGAAGAATCTTACATGCAACAAGTGCTAACAGAAGAATCTTGCATGCAACAAGTGGTAACAGAAGAATATTGCATGCAACAAGTGCTAACAGAAGAATCTTGCATTCACCAAGTGCTAACAGAAGAATATTGCATGCAACAAGTGGTAACAGAAGAATCTTGCATGCAACAAGTGATAACAGAAGAATCTTGCATGCAACAAGTGCTAACAGAGGAGTCTTGCATGCAACAAGTGCTAACAGAAGAATCTTACATGCAACAAGTGCTAACAGAAAAATCTTGCATGCAACAAGTGCTGACAGAAGAATCTTACATGCAACAAGTGCCAACAGAAGAATCTTGCATGCAACAAGTGCTAACAGAAGAGTCTTGCATGCAACAAGTGCTAACAGAAGAATCTTACATGCAACAAGTGCTAACAGAAAAATCTTGCATGCAACAAGTGCTGACAGAAGAATCTTGCATGCAACAAGTGCTAACAGAAAATTTTTGCATGCAACAAGTGCTGACAGAAGAATCTTGCATGCAACAAGTGCTAACAGAAAAATGTTGCATGCAACAAGTGCTAACAGAAGAATCTTACATGCAACAAGTGCTAACAGAAGAATCTTACATGCAACAAGTGATAACAGAAGAATCTTGCATGCAACAAGTGATAACAGAAGAATCTTGCATGCAACAAGTGATAACAGAAGAATCTTGCATGCAACAAGTGCTAACAGAGGAGTCTTGCATGCAACAAGTGCTAACAGAAGAATCTTACATGCAACAAGTGCTAACAGAAAAATCTTGCATGCAACAAGTGCTAACAGAAGAATCTTACATGCAACAAGTGCTAACAGAAGAATCTTGCATGCAACAAGTGCTAACAGAAGAATCTTGCATGCAACAAGTGCTAACAGAAGAATCTTGCATGCAACAAGTGCTAACAGAAGAATCTTACATGCAACAAGTGCTAACAGAAGAATCTTGCATGCAACAAGTGCTAACAGAAGAATCTTGCATTCACCAAGTGCTAACAGAAGAATCTTACATGCAACAAGTGCTAACAGAAGAATCTTGCATGCAACAAGTGCTAACAGAAGAATCTTACATGCAACAAGTGCTAACAGAAGAATCTTGCATGCAACAAGTGCTAACAGAAGAATCTTGCATGCAACAAGTGCTGACACAAGAGTGATCATGAGTGCAACAAGAGCCTGAGAGAGAAAAAAGTTGCAGAATCTTACATGCAACAAATACCAACAGACGAAAGATCCTGCGTGCAATAAGAGCCTGGGAGAGAATGTTGCAAAATCTTGCATGCAACAACAGAGATCTCAATGGTAATTGATTTTAGCATTTAAGATCAACAGTAAGAATGAGGAAGTGAGATAATGATTTTCCTAGCGCGCCCCCCATCCCCCCGGGGGAGCAAGGCTCAAGTAACCTGTAAGACACGTACCAGCGAGAGTAAGGACACGTACCAGCGAGAGTAAGGACACGTACTAGCGAGAGTAAGGACACGTACCGGGAACCACCACCACGGACACATGACACTCACAGTAAGGACGCATGACACAGTAGGGTCACATGACACAGCAAGAACACATGGCACTCACAGTAAGGACACTTGATACAGTAGGGACGCATGACACACTAAGGACGCATGGCACAGTAAGGACAAATGACACTCACAGCAAGGACACATGACACTCACAGCTAAGGCACATGACACTCACAGCAAGGGCACATGGCACTCACAGTAAGGACATGTGGCACTCATAGTAAGAACACGTGGCACTCACAGTAAGTACACATGACAGTCACAGTATGGGCACATGGCACTCACAGTAAGGACATGTGGCACTCACAGTAAGGACACGTGGCACTCACAGTAATTACAAGTGGGATAAAGGGCAAGGACACGTACCATCGAAATCGATACCAGCAAGAAAACCGATGACACGCACGGATAACGTTCTGGACACGTACCGACAACCGTCAGATTGACACGTGTGGTTTTGGTGGGTTGCATCTTGAAGTCGACACGGCAGGTGTAGAGCCCCTGGTCGTCTAGAGTCAGTGTGGAGACTCTCAGCAGCGCCGGTGAGGACGCCACTTCCAGCACGGCCCTGGCACCCAGCTCCTCCTCGTCCGACCAGTGCCTCTCCTTACCCCGTCCCAGCCATCGTTCGTCCAGCCTTGAGGACAAAAAATACGGAAGTCATAGAGGTGGAGCTCTCTCTCTCTCTCTTTCTCTCTCTAATATTTCACATTAATTTATTAAACACACACACACACACACACACACACACACACACACACACACACACACACACACACACACACACACACACACACACACACACACACACACACACACATACACACATGCACGGTTATACAACAGGCCTAGTGTCTAATCGACATGTGACTAGGACAAAATGGTAACTAACACACACACACACACACACACACACACACACACACCAGGAGCTATGACTCGACCCCTGCAACCACAACTAAGTGAGTACCAGGAAAACATTCTCAAGGGAATAGTATAGACTACACAGCCCCAGTCCTGACCCCACACCTGACATAGCACACCTGACAGAGCACACCTGATAAAGCACACCTGACAGAGCACACCTGATAAAGCACACCTGATAGAGCACACCTGACAGAGACTGTCTGACAGAGCAACCCTGACAGAGCACACCTGACAGAGCACACCTGACATAGCACACCTGACAGAGCACACCTGACAGAGCACACCTGACAGAAGGGTCGTGAATATACAACTGTAAGTACACATATATACGTAGACACTTGTATGACAGCTGCATCATGTATGACAGCTGCATCATGTATGTATACAAGAACACGAGGTGAAAGTAAGAGGAAGGAAAAGAAAGGAAGAAGCATGAGCAAATAAGAGAGAATAAGAGAAAGTAAGAGAGAATAAGAGAAAGTAAGCGAGAATAAGAGAAAGTAAGAGAGAATAAGAGAAAGTAAGAGAGAATAAGAGAAAGTAATATTCGCAAGGTGGACGTAAATAATGGCAACGTTATGTCTTCTCGTTTTTCATAACGTTTGTGTTTGTTTCTCCTGTGTGTGTGTGTGTGTGTGTGTGTGTGTGTGTGTGTGTGTGTTTTGTCATACCTGTGACCTGTGTATTATCCACCTGTTCTTCCTATCATCCGTGTGTATTATCCCTATCTTCCGTAAACCTCTTATTGAGTTCCGCATATCTCTCTCTCTCTCTCTCTCTCTCTCTCTCTCTCTCTCTCTCTCTCTCTCTCTCTCTCTCTCTCTCTCTCTCTCTCTCTCTCTCTCTCTCTCTCTCTCTCTCTCTCTCTCTCTCTCTCTCTCTCTCTCTCTAAGAGTGATTAATCACCATCTTCTTCTGATATGACTAATGTCTGCGAGTGAGACAAGCGTTCAGGGACACATCGAGACCTGTCTGCGAGGTCGTCAGGCGTCGCGAGACACCGATCTCGCCAGATTAGGGAAAAAAAGGATTTTTAAAAACTGCAACAACGGCAGAAATTCTCTCTGCTAAGATCAACGAGTTGCAACGGAGGAGGAGGTAGGAGGAGGAGGAGGAGGAGGGAGAGGAGAGGAGGAGGGGGAGGAGGAGGAGGAGGAGGGAGGAGGAGGAGGAGGGTGGAGGAGGAGGAGGAGAGGAGGAGGAGGAGGAGAGGAGGAGGAGGAGGAAGGAGAGGAGAGGAGGAGGAGGAAGGGGGAGGAGGAGGAGGAGGAGGAGAGGAGGAGGAGGAGGGAGAGGAGGAGGGGAGAAGAGAACGAAGAAGGGAGAAGAAGAAGGATAAGGGAAGACAGAAACAGAGAAATATAAATATGAAAAGAAAAATGTAAGTGGTGCAGAAGAATGGAGAATTATATGTGAATATATGTCAAAATATATGTCACTGATATATGTCAAAATATGTGTCACTGATATATGTCAAAATATGTCACTGATGTATGTCAAAATATATGTCACTGATATATGTCAAAATATATGTCACTGATATATGTCAAAATATATGTCACTGATATATGTCAAAATATATGTCACTGATATATGTCAAAATATGTCACTGATATATGTCAAAATATGTCACTGATGTATGTCAAAATATATGTCACTGATATATGTCAAAATATATGTCACTGTTATATGTCAAAATGTATGTCACTGATATATGTTAAAATATATGTCACTGATATGTCAAAATATATGTCACTGATATATGTCAAAATATATGTCACTGATATATGTCAAAATGTATATCAGAATTTGTCTAGATAAACGACAAAATAAAAGTAAAGATATGTGAAATTGTCAAAATATATCAAAATATATGTCGAAATGTCAGTATATGTCAAAATAATGTTAAAATGTCAAAATTTGTCAAAATGCGTCAAAATATCAAAATTTGCCAAAATATGTCAAAATGTGCCTTAAAATGTGTCAAAATATCAAAATATAGTCAAAATGTAAATATATGTCAAAATACGATTCAAAAATGTCAAATTTTGGATCAAAAATTTCAAAATATTTGTCAAAATGTCGAAATATAGTTCAAAAAAAGAAGAAAAATAAAATTTTTTGGTCAAATTTTATATAAAAAAAGTAAGAAATAAGACTGAAGGTTATTTCAAATTAATTATAAACGTTTTCCGGGTGAGAGTTACAGCTCCTGGCCCTCTCTTGTCTAAACTGGAACTTAAACACGTATACCTGCGGAAAAAAGGGGCACCTTTTCAGCTAAAATAAAAAAAAAGAGAATCAATTGATCAAGACTAAAATCATTGAGGTGGACACAAAATTCCCTCAAGAAATGGTTGTTTTTCGTCTGAGCTTCAAGATAAAGTGGCCAGTCCTGCAGGAGGAATCTGAAGACGCAGCAGCAGCAGCAGCAGGAGAGAGGGAGTGGTCGGGAGAGAGTGGTCAGGAGAGTGAGAGAGGGAGGAGGTAGAGTACGGGAGAGAGTGAGAGAGGATGGGGGGGGGGAGGAGAGGCTTTCTGAAGAATGGCAGAGGAAAGAAGTGGGTTAGTAGAGAAGGGAGGCGGGTTAGTAGAGGAGGAGGGTTAGTAGAGGAGGGAGGTGGAATAGTAGAGAAGGGAGGTGGGTTAGTAGAGAAGGGAGGAGGGAGGTGGGTTAGTAGAGGAGGGGGGTGGGCTGGTAGAGGAGGGAGGTGGGTTGGTAGAGGTGGGAGGTGGGTTAGTAGAAGGTTGAGGTGGACTGGCAGAGGGAGGTGGGGTGGCAGATCAGTATTCCACTCAGGCTATCACATGCTATCTGCCCTGGACGATACCGGCACCTCACTACACCAAGAATTTTAAAACCCAGCCACTTACACCAGTCCCTCCAGTGAAATTTTATAACGAAACAATCATAGAGAGAAATACAGAACACGCTGTAAATGTTACAGAGAACAGAACACATCAAGCATAGTTAGGTGCTTATTTAACTGGGATTCAAAGCCTATCGACTTCACTAGGGTCATTAGGCTCCATGTAACCTAACCACCACACAAGAATACTTGAACGATTAAAAGAGGGATTGAAAGTAAACTCACAGCGTATATAAACGCTGAGAGATATACACCTCACGGTATATATGTCCTGGACTGAGGTTAGGTTAGACACAGATCTTAGTTATATGACGACCCGATAGTGAAGCTTTTGATTATCTGACCGAGGCCTTCCACTGGCTTACTCTTCCATCCCTTTGAAAAATATAGTTAGGACTTATTGTTCCTAGTTTACATTATATATTTAAATATCCCCTTTGTATATTGCATTATTCTCTCGGGTAATATTTAAAGAAACAAGATATTAGCTGTGTTGCTCCTAAATAAAAATTCTGTTTTCGAAGAAAAATAAAATCTTATTCCAAGATGGATATATTTTTTTCGTAATTTCATGCGTTATGCAAATTTTTAATTTGGCCCAAAAAATTAACTAGCAACCTCGCCAAAGTTTGTCCTAAATTAACATAACATAATTTCGCCTGATCTTACCAAACTTATCTCAGGTCAACAGAAAATGAGTCGGCAGCAGTTTTTCAAAGAAATGGACCCAATCTCAAAGCAAACTGCTTTGAAACTGGGTCCATCTTTTTAAAACACCCTGTATTGAGCAGGATTTTAAATTAATGTAATAAATACGTGAAGGTCAGGTGGTTATCGTTAAGTTCAGGCTGATTTCGTGATGTTCACTCTGATTTCCGTAAAGTTCAGGCCGGTATTCGTGAAGTTCAGGTTGATTTTCGTTGAGGTTTTAGCAAAAAAAAAAAAAATGACTTTAAACAAGACTTGTTTGACGAAAACTATCATTGTTTGATAAGCAAAGCTTGCAAACTCACCCTTAAAAATCACGAGATTTATACTCATAATAAGAGAGTAGTAGGAGCGATTTACATCAAAGTAAATATCTAACACAGAGGGGTAAATGATTTACTGAAATATATATATATATATATATATATATATATATATAATATATATATATATATATATATATATATATATATAATATATATATATTTTAACAATGCAATGCAGGGGATGAGATGAAAAGCTGTAAGCCTTCTCCCTGAAAGCTGGCTGACTTGGATCAAACGTGTAGCACATGCTACACGCCAAGGTATTGTCCAGTGTGGGTAGATTGGTAAAGCACTGCGTACCTTGTCCTAAGGTTCGTAGGTTCGAGTCTCCTTCAGCCAGGGATCAGTGTTTTATATATATAATAATATATATATATATATATATATATATATATATATATAATATATATATATATATATATATATATATATATATATATATATATATATAGGGTTGAAAGGTTGCATTTAACATTACTACAAGAAGGAAGATATGAGACCCATGCTGAAAGATATTTATCTGAGGGTAAGTCTGTGGAAGGCCGAGGTTAGTTATTGGCAGCAACTTGTTGCGTGTCACCCAGGAAGCTTATTGATTTACACGTCTTGTGAGGACGCTTTTGATTCAGTATTGCTAACACGTAACACAGCTTAGCACTTCCCACAGGTTGTTCGAGGAGTCTTATTGATGCCCACACACACACACACACACACACACACACACACACACACACACACACACACACACACACACACACACACATACACACACACACACACAGGGTGTTCCAAAGAGGGGACACAGA